TAGGCCACTTCGAAATGACATAAAACTAACTAGAATATATTTTCAAAATTGTTGGTTAATGTATTGTCTACTGTCACTTTCATCATGTTTTTAGTGATTAGGAAAATATTTAGCAAATAAATAATTGTATTTTAAATTAAATGTAATTTTTAATAAATGTTGGCATCAGTAGTTTAATTATATATTCTAAAATAATTAGAGCAATATACAACTGTATTACTCATGTTTCTCAAAACTCAATTTCCCTTTTCTTTATGTTACACTTTAAAGCATCATGATAACCTAATTGTCGTTTTACTGAGCCAATCTGAACACATCATCACGCAGCACGTCTGAAACTTTATTTACTTTTCAAGCTAACTAGCTTGTATGCTGCCGATTACAACACGGATTTCACAATTACTATTTTTAACTGACCGGACAAGCTACAAAGTCTGTGTGCGCGCTTACCAGTGGTACTCTGAGTGGATGATTAAGACGGGCCCGACTGTGGTGCGGCGGCAGCCGCAGGAGGAGGAGGAGTCTTTTCTGTTCAGCCATCCTCGAGTCGCGAGCAAAGTTAACTGCCAGACTTTGCTTGTTTTACTTTTAATATCTGTTTGCTTACAATTTCATTCCAAAACATTGGTGGACATGCTGCAGTGATTCGATTGATTAGATTTAAATGCTGTGACGCGACTCGAGGGACACACAATTATGTTACAGGACCTCCGGGAGAAAAAAAAAAAAAAAACGACCAGACTCGATAGTGGTATCAATAAGCCCAAACGTTATTGATTTTCGGGTTTTGAAAAAAGTGGAACCGGGTCCTTGATAGAACCGGGTTTCGATCCCCATCCCTAGTTAAAACGAGAATCAAGTCTCCACTGATCCAAGCACCCAGAAGCAAGACTGCTGGTCTGCTGGGTAGGTACCAACCCACCACGGCAGCCAGGATTTTAAGGACTAAGGTAAAGATTACCATCCTTCCTGGGAATAAGCCTTTTCAGGGGCCAGGAAGAGGAAGATACCAACCAGATCCAAGCCTAGTCCCTATGGCCAACGGCCAGCGAAGCAGGCCCAAGTAGCCCAGTAAAGAGTACCTTCCCAAGGGGGGCTGCCCTCTGATTATGCCATCACAGACCAAGGAAAATGCTCACTTCGGCCACTGAGGGCCACATCTCCAACCGGCCCTCTCATCCTGCTCACATGCACATTGAAATAGTAAAGATTTAGCTCAGGGACCATTAGGGGTCCCTCTAGAGACTGGGGGAATCTGAGAAAAAAAAAAGTATGTCCAAATCCAAATTTCTGTACAGCAGCAAAGTTGGCATATTGCCTCGCCATTTGCTCTGAATGGGTGTTGCCCTTCACAAAGGGGATTTTTTTCCACCCTTGAACAAATCTGTGCAGACAAAAAATGAGATCCACTGAAAAATTAGGCCAAGCTTTTGTCTGACAGACAAAACTCAGCAGGATCCACATGCTAGAGATAAAGATATATGGTTTCCCCCCTTTTTCCCAAAACCCCCTCACATGCACACCGCATCTTTCTGCTTACCCCCATAAACAAGAACACCTTTTTTAAGTGCAAAAACTCCCATTGAGGATTTTCTTTAATAGTGGTAAAATCTTGATGCAAAGAAAACAACTTAACCAAACAAAAAGGTGAAAAAATACAGTTCCTTTTTTCAGAATTTCTTTCTTTGTTTTGTTTTTGTAAATTGCAACTTCTTGTCTTATCAGTGAGTCAGCCTGCAGAGTTACAAGGTCACGCATTAAAGGATCATCTCTAGACACAAAGCAGCCAAGTGCTCTGAAATCAACTTTTCAAAAGGCACACAGACTGATGCATATCATGCATTCCAGGCTGTTTATCAGCATCCTCTTACTAATTAGGGTTTTTTTTCTTTCCACAAACCAAACCTCGACCTCACTGACAAATTAAGACACAATTAATGATTAACACCTCATATGGCAAGACTTCCCTCCTCTATTCAAAAACAGATTCATCCCTTACAGCTTGTCAAATACTGTCTTTATGTTCACACCACAAGTCTGTTTCTGCTCCCTTCACCTTAACAGGGGAAAAACATTTTTGCTCCAACAAATATCTACTAATTTTAATGTGTCGGATTAAACATGTTTTAGAGGAACTTGAGAAAATACAAAATATGCAACCTGAATCTACCTTTTTGGTAGCAGATAGTAAAATTAAACTGGTATTTTTGGTAAGAACAATTTTAATTTCACGAACCACTCCCTGCGCCATATATTAGACAAACTTTATTGTCATTTTGTATACACAGAGTATACAAAGCGAAATTTCATTTTGTACAGCTCTCATGACCTTTCCATTTCTTGTTCAATAATATGGTCAGAAGTCGCTTATCTAACAACAGAAAAAAGACTAAAGATCTGAAAACAACACTTCATGCCTTGATCAATACCCAAACTGATAGGAGATAAACAGAGTGACTGACGTTAGTCTAAAAACCAGTAAGCTGCCCATTTGTAATCCTTTGGGATCCCAGCAACCCCAGTGTGAGCCATTATACAAACATGGAGAAAACAAAACATTCTTTATCCATCACTGGCTTGGCTGATCTAAAATAATCACCTTAAGAGTACAATGACTTTTAGTCATCAATGCACACAGAAGTGACACACAGAAGCACTTGCAAGCTGGGCACCGTTTCATTCACAACACCTGTCCCATCAACCAGGAATCACAATCAGAAATACTTTAATAATCCCAGGGCGACATTACTTTGGTTACATTTCTCCATCTGTAATAGAGTGACTATAGGACCAGTTAGATACAAAACAGTTTCATACAATATATACAAAATTAGCAGGTCCCCGCTCCATCTCGCCATCAGTTTAGGGGTCCTTGGCCTGGAAAACATTGAAGACCCCTGCTCTAGAACATGGAAGCATTTACGAAATACTAATGTTACATTAAAAAGCAACATTCTGATGACTTTGTAAATCTAGCAGTGCTAACTGTTAAAGCAAGATATAAATTATTTAATCTGAGTTTTATTTATGTATATATAGTAAAACAATAGCCTGTTTGGGAAATAAACTTTTTTTTTTAAGTGTGGCATGACAACAATGATCCTCTAATCAGTGGAAGAAGCAGAGAAACAAACCGTTTCAATGCTATCTTTATTTTTAATCATGTTAGAGAAAATCATGAATCCACTAAAATCAGAACAAGAAGATCTAAGCTGGTCCAAATATGTCCCCTCTAAACCTTCTAGATCTCATTGTTATAAAGGTTTTATTATTAATGTTCATTTCAATCATTGAGACTACCAATCTAAATATTCAATCTAAACAAAAGCCAAGAGTACATTTTAAAAAGCAGTAACTTTAACGTAAAACGGAAGACTTTTTTGACTTTAAGGTTAGGCAGGAAAAAAAAGAACAACTGTAAAAGACACATCAACAGAGATGTAAATGTATAGATTTGAAACCTGTTTTAGAATAGCTTATCATTTGTGTAATGAGACTTGTTGATCTACACATGCAAATTTCTCCCTCACAGTCTCCAACACTTAGAGTAGGATTGAGTGCAGGTCTGTTCTGATGCATTTCCTGCTAAATGTACTTTACTGCATCAGTGACTGGGAGAAGGGGTGAACTGCTGTATCGATGAAATTCAATCAGTGCACGGCGGAGCATGGAGGATCGTGTTACATGGGAGTAACCCTGCGATCCATAAACAAACCCCAGAACAGGAAGCTGCTATGAAGGGCAAAGCTTTGAGGGCTACTGCACACAGCACTGGAATTTCATTCATTATTATATTACATTATATATATTACTAATAGCTAGAACTTATTGAATTCAAGTGATGTTATAAAAATTAGTAGATATCAGAAACATACCGGTAAACGTGTGCAAAGCTGCATGACTGTTTGGATCAAATATTTATTGAAAAATCAGAATTTAACTCCCACCAATACAAAATCTTCCTGCCTGCCATATTTGTACCTCTTATAACTATTCTTTAAGTGTCCTCAGCACCCCCAACCGATGCATGTTTTTAGTAGATGCTTAGACCCAGGAGGGAAGTTGGAAACATTGTTAGGATTCCATCATTACAAATCCACAGTAATGACATTGTATTTATACACTTTCCTAAATTTGTGCTGCCCTTATCGACTTCATGTAGGACTTTGCTTTGTGGTTGTGGGGCAAACATGCTTCCTAAAGACCAAAAACCTTTGGCTTATAGGTAGATTAGGTTCTCTTGAGAAACCTCTGTATTTATACTGCTATAGGCTTTGTTTCCTGGACTTATTGACCACATTTCCCTGTCTGCTACTTTCTCTCCATTTGCATTTATTACCAGCATAAACTGAGTTTATGTTGCTTTCCAGGCCTTACAAGCTAGCCCTCGCTCACTTCCCCAGTGTTTGCTCTAGTTTTCTTCCGGGACAAAGAAATTGACACAAATATTTCCTTCATCATCTATGTGAACCGTTTTTTTGGTCGCCCCGAATAGAAAACGGTTCAAAAATGGTCACCGCATCTGTGCTAAACCAGTTATGAAAAAATAAACAAATTGCTAACTGTTGCTAAATATTAAGCCAAAACACAAGCTGTTTCTTTTCCTTTGGGGTAAAATGGAGGAATGGAGAGTTAAAATTTGGTTTGAAAGACAGACCAAGTTTCCCTTTGTATATATGGACTTTTTATATATATTCATCTAAACCAGTCCTTCTCAAATAGTGGGGCGCGCCCCCTTTGGGGGGCGTGGTGCGATACCTGGGGGGGCGCGTGTGACCCTAGGGAACAGGCTTTTTTTTTGGGGCCGTACTATTATAAAGTGTAATTGCGCATCCACTACAGTAGGCGGCAGTGGCGCTGTAATTTTTACTTCTGTCACGTTTGCGACAGTGCAACATTTTACGGCTTACAAGGTTACCTGGTTACCAGTGTTGAGTCAACAGAAAGCTCCGACTGCGTTCTGTCTAAAGCCTCTGTTATTCAACATAAAAACCGCCAACATGAAAAAGTTTTTAACAGGGATGAAAAGAAAAGCGGAGAGAGACAAAGATAATGAGAGAAAAGAAAGTCACCCGAAAGCTAAGACGAGGAAATACGACGAAGCGTATTTAGCGCTTGGCTTCACTGTCACTACAGTTGGAGAAGAGGAAAGACCGGTGTGTTTGCTGTGTCTAAAAATGCTCGCAGCGGACAGCATGAAGCCAAATAAATTAGCGCGTCACTTAAATACATTACACCCCAATCACGCCGATAAGCCGCTAGAGTTTTTTCAGCGAAAACGTGCTGAATATTGCCAACAGTCATCCCGCTTTGTGAAGGCTACTTCAGTAAACCATCGAGCGCTGTTAGCATCATATAAGGTGGCGTACCAAATTGCGCAGTGCAAAAAGCCCCACACCATAGCAGAGGAGCTGATACTGCCTGCAGCATTAGACATGGTCTCTGTCATGCTGGACGACGCCAGTGCAGCAAAACTAAAAACTATCCCTCTGTCCAATGACACTGTCGCCAGACGTATAGATGACATTGCTAACGATCTTCAAGAACAGCTGGTAGATAAACTCAAAGACAAACGTTTTGCCTTACAATTTGATGAAGCAACTGACAGCAACAAAGACTGTCTGTTTATTGCTTATGTACGTTTTGACATGTCTAACTCCCTGTGTGAGGATCTACTTTTTTGTAAATATGTCAGGGACAGAGCCACAGCTGAGGAGCTATTCAAAATTCTGGACTCCTTTCTGACTGAGAATGGGCTAAAGTGGGAGAACTGCATTGGTGTTTGCAGTGATGGTGCACAAACCATGGCAGGGAAGAGAAAAGGACTTAGGGCACTCATCAAGACAGCCTCACCTCATGCTGAGTGGACACACTGTATTATACACAGAGAAGCACTTGCATCCAGGCAACTTTCCCCTGAATTAAGTGAGGTTATGACTGACATCATAGATGTAGTCAATTTTATAAAGACCAGACCACTAAAAACAAGAGTCTTCTCTGCCATCTGTGAGGAGATGGGAGCTGAACATCAAACTGTGCTCTATCACAGTGAAGCAAGGTGGTTTTCACGAGGAAAAGTCTTGTCCCGTGTTTTTGAGCTCAGAGAGCAAATAAGAGTGTTTTTGGAGCAGGAGCACAAGTATGAAGTGGCAGAAAAATTTTGTGATGAGAACTTCCTGGGAAAACTGGCCTACCTGAGTGACATATTTGGAAAGCTAAATGAACTGAATCTACAGCTTCAAGGGAAAGATAAACACCTCCCTCAGGTCACAGACAAGATTAGCTCTTTCACCCGAAAGCTTGCAATGTGGGGCAGGCAACTTGATGAAGGAAACACAGATTCATTTGAGAACCTGCATGAATTTGTAGACACTAATGACTATGATGCTATCTCAGTGATTCCACACATTAAGCAGCATATTTCTTCACTGATTGGATTCTTTAAAAAGTACTTCCCTGAAAACAGTTCCCAGTATGACTGGGTGAGAGACCCTTTCAGTGCAGCAGCTCCAACTGGTTTCAGCTCTGCAGAAGAGGAGCAGTTCATTGACATGACGTCTGACTCCACACTGAGACTGAGGTTCACATCACAGACACTCAGTGCATTCTGGCTGAGTGTAGAGAGGCAGTATCCACTCTTAGGAGAGAAAGCTATAAGCATTCTGCTTCCTTTTGCAACATCTTACCTTTGTGAGATTGGCTTCTCTGCTGTTGCTGCACTGAAGACCAAGTACAGGTCCCAGCTAAACATTGAGCAGGAGCTGAGAGTTGCACTATCATGCTTCGAACCTCGCTTCGAAAAGCTGTGCACTGCAAAACGTGCTCATTGTAGCCATTAAACCTGACTTCCTCCTCATTTTGATCAAAAAAAGAAAAAATGAGCACAAATTGTTTAATTCATTTTTGTTTTGTAGGTTCAAGTGTTTTATATATTGTGCTCCTGAGTTAATGTTGCTGAACTAAATATAAATTAGTTATTTTTTTTGTAGTTTATTAGTTATTATAATTATTAAATATTATTTATTGATTTGATTTAATTTTGCAATGGTGCAATTAGTTTGTCAAACATGTTTACAGTTTAAACATGTTTAAAACATGACTTAAAACACGATTTAATAAAGTTATTCTTTGTAAGTTTGACCATATGTCTTTCTTTTTTTTTTCTTTAATGTTAATAAGGATAAAATGTTATGCAGAGATGGATAGTCACGTGGGGCGTGGGGGGCGCGAATAGTTTTCTTCTTGCTAGGGGGGGCGTAACATATAATAATTGAGAAGCACTGATCTAAACGGATTACATTTGCAATCACTCTATGTCTTAAGGAGACTGATTTACACCTGAAAAGGTTAATTATGAGGTTTCCCATATGATTTTGTTCCATACAATCTTAAAATAACAAGAAATAAACAAACATCTAAAAGTTGGATGAGTTTTGATGAGGATAAGTATAAAAAAATATTAAAAAAACAGATTTTCTATCAAATCATTATCAGATTTTGAGCCTGATTCAGCTAACTCTCACTCCCAGAGTTCATTGAAAGTGGTGTCACGCTCTAAAGTATGTATTTTTCCTTTCCAATAAAGTATCCACGGCTCAGGGATCCTAAGTTTATTCGTGTTTCTTTCCTGGAAGGAGTAATTGACAGTTATTACCTTTGAACGCCCCCAGAAAGTGCTCCTAGTTCAACATTTCTGTACGGCTATGTCTTTCCTGAATGAAGTCACTGCTGAAGAAATTGCTGCCATTGAGTCAGTGTACTCAATGGCCAATGAGGCCACTGGCTTATGAGATTGTCAAAAATTTGATAAAGAGTAAAAATGTTGCTAGTTTGAGCGACAATCATGGTTTCTTATTTAGATGATTTAAATTAAACTCGAACATTTTTAAAATATTTTGTCTTGTTGGGGGCTTAACATTAAAGCATCAAATTTCTCATGAAAAATATAATACTATTTACAAAATTGCTGATATATCCAGCAGTGAGTGCAGGATATGCAGCAACAAAACTACTGCATGCTGGATAAGAAAGCTGTTACTCCACCAACATTGTCTCTTTGTTTCCTCACACTTGGGAGTTTTGCAACATTAGAGAAGCACAGACTCCAAGCCCTTGTGTCCCATCACTCTCCTGCTGTACAGGCCTGCTTCCATTGTCCTCAAAAAAACAATGAAACTAGTGTCCACTCCAATATTCAGGGGCCAACATACACAGACCACCAGCACATCTAGCCACATTTCAAAACTGCAAACCATTCTATGAGAGTCAAACCTTGCTTGTTAGGCCCATTAAGTGTGTTAGAAAATAGAAATGTCTAAGTTATAGACTTAACTTAAGTTTATAGTCTTTAAACTGAAAATAGCATGTATTATTTGTGCAAATTGGAAGATAACAGCAGCAGTTAGCTATTTAGCTGCGCTCTGCTCATATTTCCAAACAGCTCAAATAGTTTTAGATGTTTTCCTCTGACAGCAGAGGCTTCCTGACCACTGGAAATTTCCTCTGCAGGGCTGATTGGCTGCTTTGTAAACATGAAAGTCAAGAAACAATCCGGGGAACAGAAAATTGGGAATTTTCCCATTCTATAAACTAGCAAAGATGGAATAAAGGGCTACAATTAGGAATGTACAGTCATAAAATAAAACTGTGAATAAATAAATAAGCATTATTGGTGAAATCGGGGAGATAGATGCCTTAACCTGTCCTATCTGTCCAGTGTGTTTAAATCAGTTCAGTATAAAAACATCTGAGAGGTGAAGGCGACACGCTGCTAACGTTTCCTCTCATGGCTAACAGGCTCCATGCCGTGAAGATGGCAGTCCATAGAGACGACCACACACACGTATGTTATTCTAGAAACGGTTATTAAAACCATGTTCGCCTTCCAGTTATGTTTTATACTCTCTTTGACCTCCATGATAGCATTTTTGACGGAGAGTCAACGCTTTCCGTTATTTAATCGCAAGACCAGATTCTTGCTAACACTAAATGAAAAGGCCAGTACATTTACATGGCCCTGTGCTAAAACATGCGGCAAACATAACATATTTGGTTAAAAATTCTTTTGTTTTTTCTGAAAAAACTTACCTAAGCTGTACTCCCGTCAATCGCCACTGACTTTGAAGTGGGAAAACACAACGGAAATTATGTTTCACGAAGCCCCTCCCTTTCCATGCTGATTTTATCCAATCAGCTACTTAGGAAACTGAAGCCGAACCAATCAGAACTACGGAACAAGACCGAGCAGGGATGTCCCGCCCATATACGTTATAGACCGACGGTAGATCCAAGGAGATGTGGAGGCAGTGGGAATGATTGAACTTTAACCGGACAGCACTCCAGAGCTCAGGAACAAAAGCAACAAAAAAGTCTGTCAACCAGCTTTTTTTTTTTTCATTTCTCTTTTTTTTCATCTGAATCTGCCATTTAATAGCACTTCTTTCTTTTTCCATTTTTTTTTTTTTAGCAGGTTCACTATTAAAACTGTGCTTATTTCACATTATTTAGCCTTGTGTGCACCTTAAATTTTTCTTTACACCATTTTTGCCACCGTCACACCTGAAATTCTCCACTGCGGGACAATATTTATGACTTATCCGATCTATCCCACTATAAATAAGGCTAGCGCGCCTCCTTGTGGACACAGCTTCGACTTTTATGTGCATTTCTATTTCAGCCAGGTTATATTAGACCCACTGCGGGAAGGGATTAGGGCCACTGAAAAAGTAAAGAAAAAAGTTAACTGATTTTTAAATATTATTTCAGTTTAATATGGAAAAAAGTCAGGATTCTGACTTTAATTTTAAAAATTCTGACTTTAATCTCAGAATTCTGATTTTAATCTCAGAATTCTGACTGAATTCTGACAGCTAACAGCTGTTTTAGAGATTAGCTGTCTTTTTTTAATTCTCCTCCATTAATGGAATAGAATCACCAGGGACCCTTCGGGCACGTAAAAAGTTGCCTAATTGCGTCATTTTCCACCAATGTGTTACTGGCCCTCCCAAACAACTCACATCTTTGTCAGTGAAGCTGATTGGTCCCACATCTCTTCCTTCATGGTGCCCATCTATATTAGTATCCAAAATTCTGAGATTAAAGTCAGAATTCTAAGAAAAAAGGTTGAATTCTGAGATTAAAGTCAGAATTCTGAGACAGAAGTCAGAATTCTGAGAAAAAAAAAGTGACAATTCTGAGAAAGAAGTCAGAATTCTGAGAAAGAAGTTAGAATTCTGACTTTTTTCACACATTATACTGAAATAAAATTTAAAAATCAGTTAACTTTTTTTGTTGTTTTTTTCCAATGGCCCTAATCCTCTTCCGTAGAAACACAGCACTGAGAGTAGGTCAAACTTTTGAATGAGATGAATTTGCTGCGTTTGACAGCATACTGATTGAGTATGCTGTCATTGGGAGTGCTACAACATATCTAGGCTCATCACATGCAACTTTAAATTTCTCGTAGATCCTCAATGCTCCAATTTTATGAAGAAAAGAAAAAAGAATGTCATTGCTTTTGGTCCAAAAAATGAAAGACATTTAACTGCCAACTTAGCTTTATAAACCTAAATGTCACAGATCATGCAAAAAAAAAAAAAAAACCAAAAGGATTTTTCAATGAAAACAGGGCAGACACCAGGGTGTATTGTTTAATCTATTTTAAATGCAATAGTTACTCTGTTAATTAATAGAATTTAAAATCTCATTAGGATCACAGTCTATTTACATTTTCTCGTGGTTGGTCTAGCAGGGACTATGTGGAGGAAAACCCTTTATATCATTAGAAACCTTAACAAGCACTTATTCTGTGTTATTCAGCTCTGGAAAAGAATCATTGCAACCTGAATGAGTGGAAACTGAAGCCTTATTTGAACCAGGATTGATATTACAGCTTGCTAAATGTTTCCTCCTAACATTGAAATATTTTATTTACTTGTTCAATTGCTATATTAAGTTTTACCTATTTTTTCCTGAAAAGTTTAGATTTTTTTTTTCTCTACATGTGCATTTTTTCTTTAAAACATAATCGCATTGTTGATGAATGCCGCAATAAAGTATACAAATAGAGTCGCCTCAACTACAATAAAGTATCGGTTAAAAACTTAAAAAACAAAATGAGTAACTTTCATTTTTAATTGAGGTAAAAATATATATTTTTTTGTTTTTTACTGTATATGTAAGAGTAATCACAGGATGAGCAGTCTAAAATAAAGATTAGCTTTCACACCCTATAAGCTGGGGTTTAATTCCCTCTAAATGTTTTTACCACACTGCCAATAAATCTTAAAGAGTTGATGTGTAGTAGTTAGCAGTTGACGTCTGAGGAAACTAGATTCAAGCCTGTAACTAGTGTTGCATCGATGCCATTTTTTGGCCCCGGTGGACCAGTGACGGCGCTCCAGTGAACGGCCACTGGGTCGGACGGGGCGTTCTTCCAGGTCACATCACCTGGGCAACGACAGTGCATCTTCTCCCATCTTACATAGTCTGTATTTCAAAAGGGGAGCCCCACTCGTAGCATTGATGTCAAGCGCTGTGTTTTGGCCTGAGGAATCATTTAAAATAATTCATATGCTTCAACTCTTTAGGTCACAAAGTCCACAGTGTTCCTTTAATAACATCTGCCAACATCACTACATTCCTCAAAAACAGAGACAGTAAGTAGTTCTCCTTAAAATACATAATCTTTATTGAGACAAGAGTGCCTGGTAGTGGGATTACAGCTCAGCAATGGGCTTGTGAGGCCAGTAAGGATGTTTGGCCTTGTCTAACTTGGTCTCAGGGAAGGCATCATTTAGGTCTTCGATGGTCATCTGATCGAAGGGAATCATGTTCTTAA